TCGACTTTTACATATGTATTTGCGATTAGCTAGTCTAACTCTATGCTAGTTGTATATATATAATTGATCTTTTTCTAGTCACATATGACGGTTTTTTTATTCCCATCCATACAAGTAAGGTTTCTTTATTTCACTACCTATCCCTGTCCTCTGTCACTAGAAGACCCTTTCGCACGCATGTTAGCTGTGGGCGTTCACAAGAAAAACATGCCAATGTTGGTATTCGCTAAAATGCAAGGACATGTTAACGGTAGATGTTGCTGTTATTAGCTTAAATGCTAGAACATGTGAAATTTATGGTTTGTTAATTAGTGGACAAGGGAATCAAAGGATTCTATGGTCAAACATGAAGCTAAGTTTTTGCTATTGATCTTAAAACAATTTATGGTTGGAATAAATGAAATTTTATGGACAGCAATTAATTTTGATATAAAGATTTGTGATCTAATTTTGGATTTTTGCAATATTTATTCTGGCATTATTGTGCAGTGGTAGGGCCGGGTGGGCTGTTGGCTTGTGGCCCAGACCTCGGTGCTGCATCATTTAGCGCCAAGGTCGACCCCATGACTCACGACATCGAGCTATGCCACGTAGCCGCCCTATAACCTGGCTGCAAAGATCGACGCCAAAACCCGTGATGTTGAGACATGCAATCTCGAGTGAGTAGGCGTGTCTGATCCGCCTCCCATCATATGGTCTAATTAATGTTTAGTGGGCTAGATGATGCTTATCACATAGTGACGCTGCTGGATTCTAGACTCGGGAGGCTTTAATTTCTCATTTATTGTCAAGGATGGGCACTTGGCACCATCGTATCTACTCCCTCTGTTCCTTTATATTCGTCGCTATGGAATATGTGTGTGTCAAATTTTATCAACTTTGACTAGATTTATGTAAAATATTAACAACATTTGTATCTCCGAAAAAAATCATTATAAAATATATTCAATGATCTATCTAGTGATAGTAATTATATAACGTAAATATTAATATTTTTTTATACATATTTGATCAAAGTTGAGTAAATTTGATTTCTCGGAAAATTAGAACAACAAACAAAAAGGTCTCAAGTGTAATATCAACAAAGTCTTTACCGTTCTAGCTAGTACTACTAGCAAAGTTGCAGGCTGCAGGAAATGGTTCAGCTGATGGGGCCAAGAACGCGTAATGTTTGGGAGCAATCAATTTGCATCCGGTCGAACCACTCCACTGAAAACTGCTGCTTATTGGATAAATCTTCTCCCAATTTACTCAAGCTAGCCACAAATAAGTGAGCATTTTCCATACAAAATGTGGTATATAAAATACAACTTTGTTGGCTTGTTATTCTTTTACAAAATATCAAGTGCGAGCTATGAATCGAAGTTGTGGGGGGATGCAGCACCTTAATTGTGTTTGTTTTTTACTCTGTTTACACTCAACAAAAAATTAGGCCGTCCATAGCCTAGTTTTTCTCATACATATGGTCATGTTCGCTTCTTTTATAATCCGTACTTTTCAGCTTGTTTTTTTATGTTTTTTCCTCCCAACAAATCCACCGGAGCAGTGTTTTGGTTTGTTTTTTCAGCGAAGCGAACGGGGCCAATAAGATTTGCAACAAAGTTTTTGTTGTCTACTTGTAAAAGTAAGTCATAAAACAAATCTATATATCCATATTATGACATACGAGATGAGAATGCATGTCACCTGCTAATTTGTGCTAAGGAGCTGGAGACGAGACAACCATATAGCAGCCAGAGTGTTGTGTGTACGATGCATAGGAGCAGGGGCGGAACCAGCCTATTTCAGGGTAGTCCGGGGACTACCCAAGATTTTACCAAAATTATTATTACTTGTTAGATCTAGAGAGTTCAAAAGTCTATCATTCTTAAGTATTTCAGTCCCAAACTAAGGTCTTGTTTGTATCTTTTCATCTAAATCTTAGAGCTCTAAACTTTAGAGTTAAAGCTCTACACATGTGGTCTAAAATTACTTCTAAACTCTAGCCCACCTTACATTAGAGATTTATACCTCAAAAGTGATCTAAAGTGCTCTAAAGTTTTTAGAGCTCTAAACTTTAGAGGAGAGGATCCAAACAAACCCTAAATCTCTCCTCTTGACTAGTGCTCAATTACGCTTGGTATATATTCGCCGGGTTCAGATTATATCTTAGATTATACACCGTATCGTGAGATATTTTTGTTAGGCATTCGGCAGGTTCAAATTCTAGGGCCGCCACTACACAGGAGACGCGTGCAACTCCTTTTGGTTGCGTCAGTCTACAAGCTATAAGGCCAATCCACTACGAAGAGTGTTTGGCTGGACTCAATTTTTACTGTTCATACCCGAAAATAATGTTTATACTGAAATGTTGTGATAACAAAACACTGCTCCGGAAAAAAGAAGCAACCAGCCAGACAAAAAAAATGCCAGCCGAACACAGCCGAAGCTTCTATCACTTGGACTTGGTAGATTATATTGATGGTTGCCAACTAATGCAAGCGTGTAGCCAAATGGAACGCTCGGATAAAAAAAAGGGGGTTTTGATACGATACCCCCGAGTGTCTCGGTCGTTTAGATCCTCTGGAACGAGCACCGGATCACCCGTGGCTCCGCCGGCCGGTTGCCCTCTCCCTCTCACACAAACTCAGCATCCTATTACTAGTAGAGGAGAAAGTAACAGGTTAGTTCGTATAGTAACTATCAAGTAACTAACCAACCAACCAACCAGCAGTGGTGGTCGCTGGGAAAATGTCAGTTCAAACTGCGCATCAAATCAACGGATCAGAAGAAGAAGAAGAAGAAGCTTCTTGTTCCGTTTGATTTGATGAAAGAGGAGGCAGCTAGCTAGGTAGCGGCCATGCCGGTGGTTCAACTCCCGGTCTGGATGAGGGCACACCAACTCAGGTGACGCCCGGGATTCCGACCGATTCCATTCCATTCTTCTCCGCTCTTTTGCTGTGCCCATCCATCACGTTCGATCCGAATCCGACTCCCCTCTCCCTCTCCTCCGATCAGGCTTCACCGCTTCAGGCCTTCGCTCTCGGCCGGCCCTCCTTGAGTCCTTGTCCTATGCTTCTGGCTTCTGAGACGCACAGCACAGCCACACCCACACGCACGCATCATTCTCTGGCGCTCTGCTGCCGTGCAGGTGCTCCTCTGCATCTGCATGGATATGATATGGAACCTGCTGCATCTGCATATGCCTTGCCTGCATTCATCAGAGAGACCAGTAAACAAATGGAAACGAGACACCAAAAGTTCAGTAGGGTGATGCTGGTGCTGCCTGCCTGCCTCTGCCTCTGCCTCTGCAACTCTCTTCTTCTCCGTCTCGGGTCGCCATCACCATGTCGTCAGCCGCGTATGCGTATATGTCGCCTCTACCTGTATGGGATGTCCATCCACCCATCGCCACAGCCTGAGCCCACAGGATATCCATCCACCCATCGCTTTTCCAAGGATCACCGGTGATACCAGCCTTATGGGCAGGATGTATACTATAGTATAACCCACAAACACACGACTGACTTATGGTCAATACACATTGTCTATTTCAATCTATTTAATGCTTATGTTATCAAAACAAAATCTATTTAATGCTTCCAAGCAATCACAATAAGTACGAATATGATTTGTATGAACCATTTTATTGTTTCTTGATGTAAAAAACAGAGCAGACATAAATAATATGAGCTTAATTACAATATTTTTAGAACCATCAGCATAAATAAGTTTAGTCTGAATTTTGTTCAGAGTTTTCAAAGTCTGATATTATAAAACCAAGAAAGATGACTTTTCCTGTGCTTGAATTTGCAGGACCAAGAATTCAAAGTCTTGGAGCATCAGAGCGCAACTTGGAGGAAAGCAAGTGTCCCTTGATCATTTTGAATCCCATTCGCATTAATTCATTTGTAAGCATGCATGTGTCATGACGAGCAAAACATAAGGACTTCCTAGGTTGTACAATCTTCCTTGTTACCTGGGGTTTTTGAAAGGATAGTAAATGCTTATCTGCTTTACCTTTTATTTATGATATATGATGACCTTATAACTTGTTCATACACCTTATTAATGTATACGGAATTGTTCATGATAGCTCATGATGAATTTAATTAAAAAAACATGGAGTGACAACCCGGAAAAACAGTGCAACCACAAGATTAATTTTCGGTCTTAGCTAATTAATTAGGGGATGGCATTAGTCTCATAGTGACATGGGTACAGAAGAAGGCTTCTATGCAAGATAGGCTTGGTACGGGAGTTGTTCCTAGACTTGCCTAGTCCTCGATAATGGGAGATTGCTTCTATGCGTGATTTGTGAGAACTAAACATATAACCATATAGGAGACTCTTTGGAAAGGCCTCGCGGTGAAACCCAACCACACACCTACAAAGTGTGAATGATGGCAAATGGGAATCACGACTTGTCGGTAAAGTGCGCAACCTCTATAGAGTTTTAAAATCTGTTATAACAGTCGTGCTCACGATTAAGAGCGGCCTAGACCCTCGCATAATACTTGAACTAGAACTGTTAATATTATGGATATTTAGGTTTATGATGGCTTATGTTTATACATGCTTTACTTTTTGTTCTTTTATTTACTTACAAATTTTTGTTAAGGGCTATGTGATCAACATACTTTATTAGTAAGCAGATTGCTAATAAAATATGCCAACTAAAAGCTCATGGCGTTCTAACCAGAGCCAGTTTTTTTTTTTGAGCCTATGCATATCATTTGTTCCAACATTTGCTGGGTATGATGGTATTCACGCTTGCTTTATTATTATTTTGGCAAAATTCTGGATGGGTAATCAGACAAAGGATGTGGAAGATTGGGTGTTCTGCTGCGAGTTACTTTTGATACGTTTGTGTTACTTTTGTTAATGACTTTGAGTCAGTCTTCTATTTAAAGTACTGTTCAAGTTGACAGTTCCCACCAGAACAGCTAGCGTGAGGAAGGTCGAAGCGTCGTCGTATCCACACGGAGCCCTTGGCCTGGCCTCTTAGATCAGAAGCGAGGATGGCGACGACTGTGACTAGGCGGTGGTGGAGGCGGCGTGACGGCGGGAACAATGACCCCGACGACCTTGCCCCCATGGACACCCAAGGTACGATGCAATTTCACGCGCGCACCTCCCCGTTCCCCTTCCCTTTGGGTTTTAGGCGCTGCTGACGCCACGGAACCGAATGATTGTTGCTGCTGTGATGCGTTTGGCAGAGCAAGAGGAGTTGGTTCGGATGCTGGAGGCGAAGCAGATCCACCGTTGGAGGGCGCGTTTCAGATTTCTGATTCCTTCGGTCTGGTGTGGGCGCAGGGCTTTGGTTTGTGTCTCAATTTTGGCCATTTCGTCCTCACATCGCCTACTGTTTTGTGCAGCGCATCTTCGCAGGGTTCCTCCTAGGTTACGCGGCCTTCCTTGTCTACTCCAGTTTCCACCATGCTTGGTCTCCCTGGGAGCTGGTTGGTTGCTTACTCCTATCAACTATTCTTACGTTTGTGATGTTTAATAGTTGTTTATGCCCAACTGTTGATGTACACCTGCCATCATTTGGGGCCCCAAGTTAATTCAGGGACCACACAACGAGTTCCTTTTATGTTGGATTAGGATCATAAATATCAAAAATCATGTTATTCTGTTTTGTATACTTCTGATGCTTTCTTGCTTCTAGATAACTGAAATGCTTGCAGTATTGAAAATAATTAATCACTAATGTATGCTTGGCACTACGAAGAATCAAGTTTTGCTTGTTGGTATACTATTATCTATTTGCCTTAAACTATGCTTCTCAAATTAACAGCGGTACCATGCTTACTTCATGGAAGATTTGCCTGCTCCAATGGTCATAATTGCAGGTTTGGTATCTCCTTCAACCATTTGGTTTTAGCTTGCAAAATTCTAAACAAACCATGTGTTGATGCTTGTAACTGATTTTTTTTTTGGGATCACATTGTTGTTTAGTCAAAGTTGACTAGGGTGCTTACAATTTGATTGGCCACCTAAAACAATTGTGACCTTCTCCATTTATAGAACACAGATTTATTATACTGTGCAATCGATGCTCATATAGGAAACTATTTGCATAGTTATTTACAATGCTTATTTCTTAGTTCTGCCAGGGCTTTCCCTGATCATTTGCATCAAAAGGCAGCTTACACTCAGCAAGTGTTCATGATTACGATTTTATTAGTATCCTAATTGCTACCAGTAGATAGTTGTACCTTAGGAGTCTGAAAGAGGTTGGGGAAAGACTGATACTGGTACCTTACCAGTACCTGGTTGTTATTAACCTATTCCATTTCGGATTCCCATTTTATCCTAGGATCCCCAAATAAAATGGAGAACTCAGTGCTCATAGCCTGATAGGCACAAAGGCATATATATTACCCAACCTAAAACAGTTCTCCCAACACTTTGATATGAAGATACATAAATGTTAATTTGCAGATTGGATAGCTGCTCTAGCATGCCTATTTGATATTAAAGAAATACTACAGAATTCAGGCCCATCAAAGAAGTGGATGTCGTACTCGTGCTATATTGGCATTTTGGTAGCCATCTTTTGGACATACTACATCTTGAGGTATATCATCTCATCGGGCTGTTCATCTCTTTTTTCCTTCCTGCGTCAATCAAATGCTTTGCTAAAGTGTTAGCATTTGAAACAACTTCTATCATGCCAGTACTATTCTAGCTGTTGCAGCTACATTAACACACAGCAAACCATTCTAGATATGTCTTCTTCTGACTGTTGGTGTTGTAGGTTGCCAAGAATTCGATGGGATGTTGCATGGCTCCCACTCGGCCCTTTGATGTATGATGAACTTGAATCTCTCTTAAATCTTCTTTCAGCAGCTACTCATGAATAATAATAACTAACATACTATGGGGGTGTTTGGTTCTTTAGTCGCTCCTAAAATTTATGTCACATCGAATGTTTAGATATTAATAAGGAGCATTAAATATAGATTAATTACAAAACCAATTACATAGATGGAGGCTAATTTGCGAGACGTTTTTTTAAGCCTAATTAATCTATCATTATCGCATATTTACTGTAGCACCACGTTGTCAAATCATGAACTAATTAGGCTTAAAAGATTCGTCTCGTAAATTAGTCACAAGTTGTGCAATTAGTTTCGTAATTAGTCTATATTTAATACTCCATGCATATGTCCAAACGTTCGATGTGACAGGAATTTTAGGAGCGCCTAAAGAAACAAACATGGCTCTTGTATATATGTGCTACCGTGCAGGGCAGGTGCATTGAGCCTTTATGTGGAACACGTGCTGCTGGAGTCAATGCAAGATATCAGCACATTGAGAAGTTACATGTATAACTTCAAGGCCTTGTAGTTTTGAGTATAGTTTCCCTCGCTCCTGTGTAGTTATATGTGGAAAAGATTTAGGCCATTTCTCCTTTTTTTGTGGTGGAGTTGTGGAGGTACCTTGTTACATGGTGTGTTAACATTGATTTTTTAACCTCAGTGATAACTTGTGCATCATTTTCGCTTTTGTGGCGGGTGTATGTACAAGCTGTGATGTCAATGGGCACCACAGCTGTTTGAAACATTCCCCCGCTTCTACTGATGTTCATGTTTGTATTAAAAACTGATGATTTTAGAGGGTATATAACACCGCAAGGAGGGTTTTAGTTCTACCACTGCAAATACCCCATTATGAAATTTTCATTTCAAAATTTTGGGATTTTTTTTTGCGAGATAGGATTGGATGGTATGCATTTTGGTGAGGACATGTTTGGTTTGGGGACTGCTATTTCGTTGGACTACGAGGGCTATCACGATCATGTGTGCAGGTTGGTCCGTATAAATTGATGATCTCGATTTAGTGATTTTTGTTCGAACGATGGGGCAACTGATGGAGGTGAACAGAGAAGGAGCGTGAACAAGGTAAAAGTTGACGATTTGATGCATAGGTGGATCGCTAATGATAAGCCATGGGCGTCCCGTCCGGACGGACCCCTCCGCATGCCCAGCACGTGTCACCCGTGCCTGCTCCGCGCGCCCCGCCCGCGTCACCCGCGCCGCTGGCTCCATGCGCCCCGCGCCTCGCCCGCCTGCACGCCATTGCTTGCTCCCGCCAGCGCCCCCATCCACCTCGTTCGTCGCGGAAGGGGAGGCCTGCGTCTGTGCCCCCATCCACCTTGCTCTGTCGGCAGGAAGGGGAGGCCTGCGCCACCCAAGTTCCCCACCAAGTAGGCCATGACTGCCGGCGACGTTTTCAGATATGTTGCAAGCCTATGCTAAGTGTTTTAGTTGTTTTAGACGTATGTTTCAGTGTTTCATCTGAATGTTGCATATGTTGTTATAGCTATACACGCATGTTTCAAGCGTATTTTTTAAATGTTTCAGATATTTTCAGACTTATGTTGCAAGTGTTTTATCTAGATGTTGTATTGTAAAAGTAGATCTGTATGTTGCATTTGTTGCTAGGGCTATACACGCATGTTTCAAGTGTTTCATCTGTTTTCAAACGTATGTTGCAAGTGTTTTATCTGGATTTGCATATGTTGCAAGTGTACGTTTCGAATGTTTTATCGGTTTCAGGCGTATGTTGCAATTGTTCCATCTGAGTGTTGTAAAAGTGGATCTGGATGTAGGTGTGGAAGAAGCCTAAGCCCTCGGTGGTCCAGGTGCTGAGGCTCCCTGGTGTGGCGACGATGAAGGCCGCAAACACGAGAGCGGTGAGAACAGGATGCCGTGGTGGATCGGTCGGGATGTGGAGCAGAATGAGCATGGGCGCGGCGCATTGGGCGGGATGGGACGCGGGCCTTCATGGTGCGTGCGTTGGAAGCAGGTGCGGGAAGCTACGTTCGGACAGACACTGCCTTCGGAACAAGGATAGGCGTGGGGCGTGCGTTGGGCGCGGCGGCGTGTATCAGGCGCGGGCGCGGGAGCACTGTATCCAGACGTCTAGGCGCTGGTCGCGGATTCCTTATAAGAGATACTCCATAACGAGATGTAAATGGTAAAAAATCCTTCTGTGTGAGCCTGGGTCTCCAGATCGCGTGGCAGGGTCCACCGCTAACAACGGAACACAAACAGATACTCGCCGCGCTCTCGCTTCCTGTCTCGGGGTCGCTCTGCCGCCGCTGCTGGGGCCGACATGCCCCCGGACCCCATCGCCGCCCTCAACAGGTACTCCCAAGCCCCAATCACAGTTCGCTGCTCTGCTTCCATTGGCAGAGACAACGGAGTTCAGTGCCCGTCGATTTCAACTGAAGGTCTGAAGCTGATCGAACCCAGCAAATTACTTCCTTTCTGTGTGCAGGTCTGAGGAGGTACTGCAGACACAAGACTGCAACATAATTCTGCGCCACTGCGAGGATACTAGACGAGATGATACGAGAAGGTCTACTCTATCTCACTTTGACCCTTTCCCTTTATCTATTTCTATTAATATTAACATTGTGAGTTTGTGACATGAATCCTGTTTTTCAAATGGTTGAAATAGCTCTCTTGTGTCCTCCAGCTGCTATCAGGGTGTATGAAGTTGAAGCAGGGTTACACCAAGGAAATGGGATTGATCAATGAGATTAAATCCCGTGGACTCATATGGATGTCGTAATACATAGCACTCTTGGGGGTCGCGTCACATGTTTCGATTAGTGGTCGTAGCAAGTTCTGGGACTAGGGCGTACATGTTATCTACGTAAATTGACACCAATAAGTTGATACAAATGCCGTCAAAAAAAAAATGTTGATACAAAGTTTATCATCATTAAGATAGAAGTGCTACTAGACATACGAGTTACTACACTAACACTGTAACAACATAAGTTGCTAAATAAACTTTGAGACAGCATAATTTTGTACTAGACATATATACTAGACAAACTTAAAATTGTTTGACTTCTTAAAAAAAAAGAACTGCATTTTTTTATGGAGGGAGTAGCTATTAAACCCCATGCTCATATGCATCGACGACCGAGCGGGTCATATCATCGGACCAGAGAACGCTACAATAGGAGTCAAGTAGGCCATATCATCGGATCAGAGAACGCTACAATAGGAGTCAAGCGGTCCCTGATGTAGCTACGTACCGCGCGTCGGTTGGCGCGTACTTACTCGACCTTTTGCGCTGGCTCCACCCAATATGCTATGCTACTAACACACTGATGATCCAATTATACAGCCAAACCATGCAAAAAGTGCAACATATGTCCATATACAAATGCTAGTACATCATGTCATAAGCTAGCCCTCTTATTAGTCACGTGGTCAACTGTTGATGAAGTGCTGCCACTGCATTCCTCCATTGCCCTCAACTCGATGCTTTGTCAGGAAATTTCGCCGTCGGCCGGCCAGCGTGAGGCATCCAGTTTGACAATATATATAGACTCCATCCGTGCTCTCTAGCTAGCCATCCCGGCCGCTGCATCCCGTCCCATCCCTCTGATCCTTCAACACACTCCAACGACGACATTGTTGCCACCTCTCATGGTCATGGCCTCCTTCGCCGGGCTCCTCCACCGCAACGCTCGTGGTGGCCTGCTCCAGCGCGCCGTCCATCGCTCTATCCGTCCCGCAACCCTCAACAGATTCACTCCAACTCCAACGTCGCGACCACTCCATCTCATGCCCGCCTTTGCCTTCGCCGCTCTCCTCCACCTCACCGGCGGCGACGCTGCCAAGTCTGAGTCGCATCCGATCATCACTGATGGTCGTGCCGATGCCGCGAGTGGTCGGCGCTTCTCGGCCCGCTGGACGCCGGCCTCCTCAAGTACGGCGACCTCGTGCAGGCCACCTACGATGCGTTCGACCGCCGCCACTGGTCCCCGCACTGCGGCACGTGCGTCCACGGCCTCCGCCGCCTGCTCCCGGCGCTGGGCCTCGCGGGCTACGGCTACGTCGCCACCGCCTTCCTCTACGCCACCAGCGACGTCGACGTCCCGCGCTGGCTCGGCCGCCCGCTCCACGAGGACGCCTGGGACGGCCACGCCAACTGGATGGGCTACGTCGCCGTGGTGGGCGCCGCCGAGGCGCGGCGCGCCGGTTTCAGGGACGTAGACGCCTCTCGCCGCCTGCTGTCCTCTGCTGCCCATGGACAACAATCCCCTCTTCGAGCTTGACCCCTTGATTCGCGACTCCTCTTTCTGCTCTTCCATCGACGCTGATGATGTCGTCCCTATCCCGTCTCCTCCAGCCTATGTGCTTCAGATAGTCAACATCAAGTCGCACGTGCCCATCATCCTCGACATCCCCGCTCCCAACTACACACAATGGTTGGCGGGGCGCACCGTACCTTCAACAACATCATCGGCAAAGTTCGGGCTCAGCTCTGATCTTGCTGCTACTCCAAGCTCTGACCAACGCCAAGAATCTGAGTGGCGGATGGTGGATCAGTGCATTCCGAGTTGGCTCTACAACTCGGTGTCCACGGGTGTCCTCAACGTCGTTCGTCGTTCTTGCTCCACTGCCTTCTCCGCCTACCGCGCCATCAACGACTTGTTACGCGACAACGAGCTCCACCACGGCGTGTACCTGGAGGCCATGTTCTGTAACCTTTGTCAAGGCAACATGACCATCAGCGAGTACTGCGGCGGTCTCAAACTGCATGCTGATGCCCTCCGTGACACCGAGTATTCTGTTCGTGAGACGAGCCAAGTGCTTAAAAATACGCTCCGCGGGCTTATTCCGGTAATCACTTCCAAGCAACCACCGCGCACCTTTCTTTCTGCCTGATCCTATCTTCTTCTTGAGGAGCTCTATGACAAGGAGCACACACCAACATGGCCTCCCACCAAGCCCTTCTTGGTCTTGCGGTCGGTGGTTCGCTTCCACCTTCCAGCAACACACCTGGCCATGCCAGCGCCGGTGGCTATCACACATCAAAATTTCTATTTTGG